AAAAAACCACCCAAAAACAAACAAACAACAACAACAAAAAAACACCCCACACAACACACTTAGAACAGCGATTTTCCAACTTTTTCATCTCATGGCACACAAACTAATTACTAACATTTTGCAGCACACCAAAAAATACCTTTTTTGCCAATCTGAAAAAAACAAATAGGTGTAATTCTGATTCATTCACATTGGATGGCTATTGTTGTATTGGCTGTTGTCATTTTTTTTTTCATTTGATAATCTAAGGGAAAGGAGGTCAGTGCCCCTGATTACATAGTCAGGTACTGCGTGTTTAAAAATTTCTTGTGGTATACCCAGGGGCCACAGCACACTGGTTGAAAATCCCTGCCTTAGAACTTAGTTACTGTGAGCATGTTTCCAGGGGGTTTTTCAGAGATTGTTTTCTCTGTTGCTATTACTTAGACTTACAGACTGTGATTCTAACAGACAGCCTTGGTTTGACCAGAAGCACAGTGTTGGCACGAAGGAGAATCTTACTGAGCTCTTCTAGTTTGCAGTGATGCCCACCAAGCTTCTCAGAAAGGAGAATTGGTCAGTGCTGGTACATGTTTAACAACTGGCTCTTAGCACAATTGGGGGAATCCTGCTTTTTGTAGCACTTGCCAATTTGTTTGGTATAAATACGGCCACCACGCTTATGTGAAGGCTCCAACATGACATCAAACAGCCCACGAAATTCCTGCAGATTTAACAAGTGAACCTCAAAAGCCAGGAAGAGCCAGCCTCCGCACACTGATCCTGTCTGGGGAGTGAGGTAATCCCAGGTTGCAGTATCGGCATTCTTGCTTACTGTCTAGGTAACCTTGGCCAAGTTACTTGAGTCTTTGATCCTGGCTCATAGATATGGTATCCAGGAGGCTTGTTTCTTTCCCCCTGGTTGCTTGCTTAGTGAAGTACCTTTATGCCATCGCCCCTTGCTGTGTGCCTGGGTGGAGGTGAGGACAGGAGACAGACGGTGTTATTTAAAGAGCCATGCGCACAGCTGTGTTATCTTTTTTTCTGGGAGCATTTCCAAGAAGAGACTGGGCTTTTTAAAAAATGGAGCAAGATTGGGGGAAGTTGACAGGTGGAAAGGGAAGAACTGCCCACATGAAAGGAACTCAGTGTGGGGAAACACACAATGGGAATTTAAAAAGCAGATGGTAAGAGCTTCCCCAAAACGTTAGCTTCAATTATAGGGAGGGAAGAGGCGAGGGTTGAAACAGGGACATGCTGACCTTGACCTGCAGGTAGACAAATAGCCATGTTTCTTGGTTTGGGGAATCTTTAGGGGAACAACCCAGTGCGGTCCAACACCCTACAAATTAGGTGAGCATGCAATGTCAGAACATAGCTGTGGCCACATCCAAGTTCAGTTTCCTCATCGGCGAAATGGGGATAATAGCCCAGCAGGGGAAGGATGCCATACTGGGGGATAGCTAATGGTCAAGTGTGAAGAGGGACAGAGCAGGCTCCCATGTGCTGGCCCCTCAGTGCAGCCCTGACACATTCTGAGCCATGGCCCTGTCTTCTACTTCCCAAACCTCAGCTCCCCTTATCATCCTAAAGGCTAGGCCCTCCTGCTGTCCCTGATCCCTCTCACTGCATCATAGCCTCAGGGTCTTCCACATTATCTGTCCCTACCCTCCCTACTATAAAATGATGATTTTAGAGTTTCATCCTTTCTCAGATAACCTGTCTCTGTGCTTCTCACAGGATGGGACAGCCATACTCATATTTTTTTGCTTTGTTTCCCAATTGGCAACAATTCAACTGACAGTGACCCTTGGATTGCAATGTCACCATCAAATTGGACTTTCCCCGATGGCCACCCCTCTTCCGTAAGGGATATGCAGCTGCAGGGTATGGTCCCTTCTGCTCTGTTCTGTTGGCTATAGGTGTGGCCATTTCATTCCTGGAAACCTTAGATCCTAGGTTCGGTGATCAGAGCTGGAAGGTCCCTCTCCCAAGCCTTCCTCAGGGGAGCGGACCCCCAGGAGGCTTCAGTGTAGTGACTCCTAGCTGGCTAGACTGGACTCAGCCAGCTCAGTGGGCCAGCTGCAAGCCCCACCTCCTGGCCTGCACCAGGCAAAGCGAGCCAGCCGTGAAGGTCACTGGCCAGAACTTGTCACAGCCAAACGTGAAGTGTTTAACAATTTCCAGCCTGATCTTCAGAATGCAGAAAGGGATCAAGCTGTAGCTGGAAGCAAATCATAAATGTTTCCAGGCCCATCCAAGAATTTCACTGGGGCCACAAGGCCACCGGGCTGCTTCCACAGCAGGTTCCCATGAACTTGGGTCTCGGCCAGGATAACACATTGACTTCTGGGTTGACCTCAGGCAAGACAGAAAGCTTTCAAGTGAGCCACTGCAGGGAGGGAAAACCCCACACTTCCTCCCTCTGCAGGCCTTGGAAGATTAATCACTTAACAGAGGGAAAGTGATCTCAGTTAATTCTGTTGGCATCACCTCTTTCTTTGTGGCTTGAATGTTACTCCCCTGAAGAAAGTAGAATATAATTCAAATTTGGTTTTTAGTTCCATAATCAAGGGCTTCTATCAGATAGCCATGGGTTCTGTACTTCTTGTCCACTCTCGGCAAAGATTCAAACCCTCTGCACCCAGTGTGCCCAGACTTTCTTTTCTCTCCCCTCACCCAGCCCCTTCCAAGGCAATGTCTGCAGTGGTGACTTTCAAGGCCACTGGAGTCAGACTCTGAGTTTGAATCCTGATTCAAATTCTTGACAGATGTATAATTTTTGAAAATCATCTTGTTTCTTCATCTAAAAAAAATAGGATTAGAGCACTGGATTAGTTTGCCAGGGCTGCTGTTACAAAATACCACAGGCTGGGTGGCTACAACACCAGATATTTATTTTCTCACTTTTTAAAGGCTGGAAGTCTAAGATCAAGGTGTTGGCAGGGTTAGTTTCTCCTGAGGCCTCTCTCCTTGGCTCGTAGATGGCTGTCTTCCCATTCAGCTTTGGTAGAATTTCCCTCTGATTACTAAGGGTCTGTAGTACCTCTGAGACATATCATTATTCACATTAAGAAATGAGTTCATAAAAAGAGGGGACATTTAAAAGGGGCTCTCCGAGGATGCTCCAGTGTTGGTAATGAGCCTAGTATTGACTGTCAAGATTATCGCACATCCCTTCCCTCCAGAAACCTACAGCTCAAGTCATATTACTCCTAAGGGGACTTATTTTCCTCTCTGCCCCAACCCAACAGACAACATGAACAGAGGAGGCTGAAAGGTTAGTGTAACCACTGTGACATGGTTGCAGAGCATGCATGCCCTCACCAGATGCTGTGGAAATGCCCTGTGTGTACAAAGGACAAAGCAGGACACATAAGTACCCTGTTCAGAACTTTCCAGAAAACTGAGGCATTTTCAAGATTGGCTTCTATGGAGAACTTAACCATACAGGATTTTTGTGGGGTTATAGTAACATACTGGTTTTTGTTTTCACCCTATCCTGTTCTGCAACCCACAAACCAGAGCATCTCCTTGAAATGATGGAAGGGGATGGCTGTGTGAGATGGGTCCGTGCAGGGAGGGTGTAAAATGACAGAGGACTTTGATTCTCCATTGAGGTTTGGAGGTGAATGGAAACATGGGCAGGGACCTGGGAAAAATGAACAGAAGACTGGTGCTCTGAGGTAGTTTCTTGATGAATGGGCTCCTAGATCTGCCCTTTGACCTTATGAGAGAAAATAACTAGGGGCCATTGATTTCAGCTTGGAAGAATGTTGTGAAGAATTGTGCTCTGATGCGAGGGTGGGGAATGTGGTAAGGAGATGTTGTCTGTGGAACACTATTCAGGACCTTAGTTGAGTTTGGCTGCATTTAGTTTTGAAATGTTGGGAGAAAGAAAAAGCAGGAGAGATGCTAGATGACTGAGTGAAGATCACACATTTGGGAGTCAGGGGGTGATAGGGTATCTTGCTTGAGAGGAGATTGTATGATTATATCTGACCAAGGATTGCTTGCTCGTGGGTGGGTCTGGAGAAACTCTATTAGCTATTTATTGTGTGAGTTAGTTACTCATATCAAATAAGCAGTATTATAAATAAAATTGCTCTTGGTGATTCCAATATCACTTGAGATCAGACACATTCATTTGCCTGTTGAGGAGAAATGCAGGGAATGACAAGCAGAGCCTTGGAAACCACGCTGGTGGGGGGAAAGGCATCCTCATACCATGAGTTATCCCACTGCTGGGTCAGGATGGGGCCTCTTAAGATCTCAGAGAACGTGCAGCAGAGGTTTGTTGGAGATAGCAACAAGGATCGTGGGGAGGCCAAGAGAAGAATGAGTGAGAAAGGCAGCCAGCAGGACAGACAGACTATCCCAGAGTCCTTGATCCAGGTGTCTGTAGGGAGCGGATGAGGGAGGGAGAAACTAAGAGGAGGAAGGGTCAGTGAAGGGCTCCTTGAGGTCTGAGTGAGCTGATAAAAAGACAAAAGAGGAACTCCAGTGCCATCCCGCAGGAGAAGGGTGCAGATCTAGGGGCAGAGAGTAAGCTGTCAGCCTTCACAACAGGTGCTCCCCTCTGTGAGTTTCTCTGAGAGCATAGGCTCCTGGTGACAAGGACACCATCCCCTGCCACACATCTCTGTGCAACGAGGATCCCCGTGAACTCAGAATTCCTTAAAATAGAACACATGTGGTTCCATCACAGCAGATGCCATGAGGTACCACAGTGGCCCCAGTTCTCAACCCCCTTGGCAAAGCACATCAGCCTCATCTTCCCTCTTGAGCAGCGACTCTCCCAGAGTTCTGGGCTGGGTTGTGGAAACTGAAAACTAAATTTTCAAAAGCTAACAGCTTAGGGAGCAGCTGTGACCTCCAAGTTCGGTTCCTGATTTTGTGTTTCTTTCTCCCTCCTCCTTTAGATCTCGGTGTGTGTGGGCGTCTCCTCAGCTGGCAGCCCTGCTGTGCCCTGCAGTTGACATCCAAGGTTTTGACTGTGTGGGTTTGTGTCTTTCCGGCAGGTGTCTCCTCTGTGACTTCCCTGATGTCCCTGGCTTGGGTGCTAGCCTCCTATCACAAGCTGCTGCGGGACTCCAGGGACGACAAGAAGAGTATGAGCTACAGAGGGGCCCTCATCCACCTCTTCTGGCGCCTCTTCACCATCTCATCCAGAGTTATTTCTTTTGCCCTCTTTGCTTCCATCTTCCAGCTCTACTTCGGGATCTTCGTGGTCGTTCACTGGTGCGCCATGGCCTTCTGGATCATCCATGGCGGAACAGACTTCTGCATGTCCAAGTGGGAGGAGATCCTCTTCAACATGGTGGTAGGGATTGTGTACATTTTCTGCTGGTTTAACGTCAAGGAAGGGCGGACTCGATATCGAATGTTTGCATATTACACGATAGTGTTGACCGAGAATGCTGCCTTGACGTTCCTTTGGTATTTTTACAGAAACCCGGAGACCACTGACTCCTATGCGGTGCCAGCACTGTGTTGTGTCTTTATTAGCTTCGTGGCTGGGATCGCACTGATGCTCTTATATTATGGTGTGCTGCATCCCATGGGGCCACGAGCTAAGATCTTTGCCAGCTCCTGTTGTGCCGAGCTGCTCTGGGGCATCCCTCTGCCCCCCGATGTTGAGCCCATGGCGCCTCAGACCCCTGGGTACCGGGGGACCCAGGTCACGCCTACCAGAGCCGTGACGGAACAACAGGAGGATCTCACGGCTGACACTTGCTTGCCCGTTTTCCAAGTGAGACCCATGGGGCCCTCCACCCCGTCGGGGCGTCCTTACCACCCAGAAGGGCCCCTCATTAAGATTGACATGCCAAGGAAGAGATACCCAGCTTGGGATGCCCATTTTGTAGACAGGAGATTGAGAAGGACTATTAACATTCTGCAGTATGTCACCCCCACCGCTGTAGGCATTCGGTATCGAGATGGACCGCTCCTTTATGAGTTGCTACAGTATGAGTCTTCACTCTAAGAGCGTCTTGACCCAAGTTGAGAAGGGGACCTTAAGTTGGTTTGCGGTTAACACCGCTCACAAGAAAATATAACCCTCCCTTCTCCCAATTCACAAAATCACAACCACCACCACCATCACCACCTCCACCACCACTGCTACAAAAAAAGAAAATAATACGTCACAACCCCTTCAGATAAGCTTTCTTTCCAGTCGCTGTATGTATACAAAGATATTCTCTATGTTTTATAAGTAAAAACAAAAAGAAGATCTTTCTTTTGTTTTTTTACACATAAGAAACAGTATTGAAAATCCCACACTATTGTTCATAGGGTGGAGAAGGAGGAGCTGTCTCCACTCCAAAAGAAAAAAAAAAGTGTTTTATACCTTACACCAAGTGTAGATCATTTATGGGATTGGTGCTGATTGAAAGAACAAAACAAAACAAAACAAACACAAACACAAACAAACAAACCTTCAACTGCCTTATGCCCTTAGGTGCTGAGTTTCATTAAGTACTGTCATGTTTTTTCTCATGAAAAAACTCTCTGGTGGTTTTGGCACCAAGAGAGGGGAAATTAAATAATTGAAACAAATCTAGAAACAAAACAAAAACCAACCAATAAATAAAACACAAAGCAATTGTTCTTCCTATTTGACTATTTGTAATGAAGAAAACAAATTCACCAAAAGCAAAGGCATAGAAAACCCAATCTTTGTTCCGTTTCACTCTTTGCTTTTCCGTCCCTGTCCCCAACTTAACAGCGCCTTCTAGGAGTCAAATGGCCATTTGGAACTCAAATGGCTCAGAAAGCTCCTTGAAGGCTGACCTTGTGCCATTTAGCATTCACCTAGTTCGGATCACATTTGTTTCCTGGTGAAAAGCAAAACAGAATAAAACAAACAAACAAACAACACCTCCCCCTCCCCATAATTCAATGAGAACAGGAAATTCTAAAGCAAATTAAAGATTCCCATCTATTTAATCAAAGAAAATCAGTAATAATAAAACTCAGCATAGTAGCAAAAAGAACAACATCAGTTTAAAGGCACAATACTTAATCAGCGACTGGCAAAAACGATTTTGGTCTGTCCTTTTAAGGCCGTGAAAGGTATACATTTACCACACGTGATATTGTGTAAGGCCTCTTCTGTTTCCATTTGGTGGGAAGCCTTAAATTGATCTGGAAAGAATTCTTCATTTTTCATTTGTGCTTTTTAAAAATATTAACACAGAGGAAAATTAGATGTCAAATTGAATAACTGACCCATTTCAAAGACTGTTTGGTGCTTCTGTCTTTCACCATTGTGGTTGGCTGAAACTCATTCAGCTCACTTGGTGCATCTGGGGTGAGTGGGAAATTGTGTGTGTGTGTGTGTGTGCGTGTGTGTGTGTGTGTGTGTGCGCCCATAGCACACATATATTTGTGTGTATGTGTCTGCTGCAAGGTCTTGCCAGAAATGTGGGAAACTGCTGTAAAGGCAGACTCTGGGTATGCTAAGGTGGAGTGTAAGAGGGCTGGGGAGGGGGGAGCAGAAAGGAGGGGGTGGTGCTGGAATACAAGCCCCTGTCTGGATGGCGAGACTCACACCAGCAGCATATTCTGGGTCTTAGAGGCCGTGTCATTTGGGTGCAGATTTGATTATTTTTCTCATTGTACCAAATTGAATTTTGAGAGGTGTTGCAATATGTTCAACCATTTCTTAAATGTTATTTTTCAAAGTATTGGTCCTGTAAGGAATATTCTGTTGTAGGACATCGTTTCAATCCCATTGTATCTCTACTTGGGCACCAAAAAAAGAAAAAAAGAAAAAAAAAGGAAAAGAAAAAAATCACAAAAACAAAAAAATCTCTACAAAAAAGATATATATATAAATAAATAAATATATATATATATATATACACACACACACTATTTTTTAGCAAATACTCTTAGTCTTTGTTGTGTGTAGCTGCGATTTTTTTTTTTTTAATTTCCAGATATAACTGTTTAGGGTGCAAGACCTCACATTGAACTATTCTTAAGAGAAGTTCAAGCTCTGAGGAATTGTTTGTTTGTTTTTATGTTGGTGGGTTTTTTAAAAAAGAAATTATTATTCAAAGAGGTTTCTCCTTATCTTCTTCACTGTTTATCTAAAGATTTTTTTTAAAAAAAAAAATAAGTTTTAAATTTTAGTTAGCTGTAAATCTGGATGTTCTTTTCTTTGTCCAGATCCCTTTGATTTTCTTTATTGGTACTAAACTTTGCAGTGCTATCCTGTCTCCCTCCCTGACTCGGTTGCCCTTGGGGTGCTCCTCCTGTGGGAAGGAGGGGCGGGAGGAGAAGTGCAGAGAGCCTGTGGGCCCAGGGCCCATCCACTAGGAAGCACGCTGCACAGAGCACACCAGGCCTTGTTGTAGACCAGCCATGTGGGTCTGTCTGGGCCCACCCAAGGCACATGCCCTGGGCCACCCAGCGGTTAATTGGGAGTTCCAATCTGGCTGGAGGTGCTTTTCCTTTGCATTCTGCTTCCCTAACTGAGGGCTTAGCTTGCCACTTACTCTGCTGAGGCTGGAGGATGGGAGGCCATGTGAGAGGAGCCATCCGGGCTCGCTGGGTCCCAGCTCTTGTCTGCCTCAATTCCGGGGCTCCTGTGCCTGGAGCCTTGGGGACGTCCGTCGCTAGAGCAATCCTTGGCGCTGTCCCCTGTGCATCCCTTTGGGACTTATGCCATTTTGGCTTATTGGTCTTTTCTTGGATTTATTTCCTTTCCTCTTTCTCTTTCATTTCAACACATTGCAGCTCTATTTTTCTACTGCACATCCAGCGTGTGTGCGTGCGTGCGTGTGTGTGTGTGTGTGTGTGTGTGTGTGTGTGTGTTTATGTTTACATGCAAATGAGAAAATGGCTCACATTCGTTGACCTGGAGCACCAAAAGTTGGGGTGATAACTTCCAACTCAGGGAGGACCCTCTGGGGCTGTAGCCACTGGGAACAGATGAGAAGATGACAGGACCTTTCCCAAATCCTTTCTTTCAACCTTTGTCGGACCGGCTTCTACAAGACTCAGGCAGGAAGGCTCACTTGTCCCGTGAAATGTCATTCCCCACCCCCTTCGTCATGCCAGCTCCTTCCCTAATGATGCAAACGAAAATATGACTCTAAGAGCGGCATCTGGGTTGCAAAGAACAAGAAGGAGGCAGAAAAGTCAGGAAAGAAGTAGAAAAGGCAGAAGTGAGAGAGGGAGGGAAACATGCAGAGAATGGCCAGGTAGAGTTTGCATCTGTCTTCTCAGTATTGTTGGTCCCTACCAATCCCCATGTCTTTAGCCACCAGGAAACTCTCCATCGGTCTCAGCATCACCTCCCCGATGAGTGTGCTTCCCCTAGTGTGTGTGTGTGTGGGGGGGGGGGGGACTTGGCCCCTGGGCGGCAGTGTGGGAATCCACGCTTTCCGTGCTCTGAGTTCACCTGGGAAGTGGGTCTTCCTACCAGAACACTTTGGTCTTGAGAAACCCAGCTCCTCCAGGCCACTCTGCAGCAGGTAGCTCTTTGTCCCTAGAGAAAAGCGATGGCCTCCCCAACATTGGGAATCTGCCTTTAGTCTGCCACCTGCCTGAGCCCTGATAAACCCCTTATGGGTGATGAGGTGCTGCTCATAGAACCCCATCTACTACCTAGGGGGACGCCTATGATATTCTTCTTCTTTTTTTTATCTTTAGACCTACTTTTTGCCCAGGAACTTCTGCTAAAAATAAATGAGCTCTCGATATTTGGTTCTGGTAGTAGATAAGCAGATAAGACTGTACTGGTAGCTACAGAATAAACTAGGAAGCTATGCCTCTTACTGCCACCCCGTCCGCCCGCCCCAGCAAAGATAACCCCAACCACTCAGAAGATTTGAGTCTTATCAGTCTCAGAAATACAGTAGCATCACTCACACCTGGCTGGTTTTGTAGCATCGTTTCTGCAAGCTCTGTTTCTCCCTTGCTCAGTAAATCAGTCTCTTCTTTGGGCCTCGTGTCTCTTAAGACCATGGTGAGGGAAGTGAAGAGGGTTCAGATTCATCACATGAGCCTCCCACTGAGCTTTCTCATCCCAAGAGTTTCTTGTATCTGAAATATACTCCTCAGCTGTCTCCAGAAGGTTCACCTTGCTCTCCACAGAAGCACCAGGGCTGCTGTGGGAACAGGCCCATCTCTCTTGATGGCATATACTGCCGAAATGCCCCTTTTCAATTCCTTGTGACCCCAGGAGCTCCTCCACACCTGCCAGCTCCCCCAAGCTCTATGTCTTGGAGTACAAAGTCACCCAATACCCTATGGCCCCATGGCCTAACCTGTCCCCTCAGTAGCCATGGCCCCTTTGAGTCTCAGGGTGGTTTCAAAGAGTGTAAACATCTGTCTGGATTGTGATCATGAAGGTGAGTCTATTGGCCATATGGCATCTCATGTCACGGACATCAGACCCTGTCCCAACAGGGGCCTTATTCTCAGGGAGAAAAATGTGTGTGTTTTTAAAGCACTAAAATAACATCATTTTCTCCCTTCTCCCTCTACTTTCACTCTCTCCCTCATGGTCATAGGGGCAGGAGAAGATGTTTCTGATGCTGATCTTGTTGGAGAACCTCTAAGCAGGCATGACTTCACTCCTATGTATCCATGGAAACCCCCTGCGGCATTTAATTGCCTGATAGAGGAAGCACACTCCCCCTTTTTCTCCTCTGCTCCCTGCTCCTGGGGTGGGGACTCTAAAACGAGTCCCAAGCCCTGGTGCTCCAGCCATAGCAAATTTTTCCTCTTTCCATTACCCAGAAACAGATGTAAGAGGAGGACAGCAGGGGCAGGCCCAGAGCCTTTGGGCTGGAGGAAGAGTATCAGGCCCTAAAAGAGGACAGGGAGGGGCCGTTCATGCCCATCTGCTCCTGGCTCTCTCTAATGGGATAGACACACGCTGTGACATTTCCTTTGCCAAAGAGAGTGGCTCCTTACTGAAAGTGAGCCCTCTCAGGCCTCTTTGGTGTGTGATGGTAGCAGCCCTGG